GGTGCCTGCCCTGCTAAAGCCGGGCCTGAGCCCAGCGAGTGCCTCGCCCAGGGAGCCCAAAGCTGCTGGAGCTGCTGGACGGCGCTTCCAGGAGGGCTGAGCACCTTCACACCCTCCTCCAGCCCAGGGAGGGAAGGAAGGGGCTTTCTGGACACGTGGCCAACTTGTCTTGTTCTTTAAAATCCTGCCTTTGATGACTTTCCTTGTGTCTGTGAGTTGGAATTTCAGACTGACCTGGCTGTGCTTCTGAATGGTCAGCTGGATGGGTTTTATTCAGGAATTAAGGAAAAGCGGAGTCTTGCTTACTGTCTCTCAGTTGGAATGGTTTAAGTGGTTTCTTTTCCCTTTATAAATATATGTATTCCTTTTGTTTTGCTGAAAACTACTTGACTTTTTATCATTAAACTGATGTTGCATCTGAATGTGAGTTTCGTTGTGGTTTCCTCCTCCCCTTTCATCCCTTTGGGGCAGAATGTGTCATTATATGAAAATCTGTGCAGAGTGGAAAATGTGAATCCAATAATCACCACAATCCAGCTGAAAACAATAATTGAATTGGTTTTACACTCTTGAGAAGCACCAAACAGGTTCCCAAATATATTTCTCTTGCTAGTTTTTTTTTTCCAACTTTTTTTCCCCCACCTCTGTGTGTAAAAGTACAATTGTGATATTTCAGCTTAGGCTTAGGCCCTACTAAAATCCACCTGAAAATTAAAGTTACTTAGTGCTGAGTGTAAATAGTTGTGGGACTTGAGGGAAAGAGCTGAGGGACTCGAGGGAAGACACCTGGAGTTCAGGTTCAGTGTGGAACCAGCCCAAGTGTCCACACAGCTGGGGAAAGAGGGGGACACAAGATGGGATAGAAGCAGGGAAGCCTGAGTTGGAAGGACCCCCAAGGATCACCCAAGTCCAACCCCTGGGCCTGCACAGACACCCCAAAATCCCCCCATGGCCCTCAGAGTGTTGTCCAAACGCTCCTGGAGCTCTGGCAGGTTTCGGGTTGGGACCATCCCTGGGGAGCCTGGGCAGTGCCCAACCACCTCTGGGGAAGAACCTCTTCCTGAGATCCACCTAAACCTCCCTGGCACAGCTCCAGCTGCTCCCTCAGGACCTGGAATGGTCACCAGAAGGAAAATCTCGGTGCCTGTCCCTCCACTGGGTCCCCTTGGAGGCCGTGGCTCGAGGCAGCAGAAGCAAAGTGTGAAAGCTGGTAAATGAGAAGGTCCTGGACTGAGCAGAGTCTGGGCTTAAAAATAGGTTCTCATGAGGGAATTTTCCAACTGATTGGATGGAATTCCTGCACCAGCCCTGCCCACAGGACTGGTCTGACTGAAGTAATTAGTTTTTCCCTGAGATCTGTGAGGAATCACTGATTGCACTCTGAGGAGCATCAAAGAAGAACCTCTCTGGGGGCAGGAAAGTGCCTTTCCAGGAGGCAAAGGGAGAATAAAGAGCAGAGAAATGAGTTTCAGGAGAACAAAATGTCCATGTAAGGGGAAACAAGCCCCCGAATTTATCCCTGGGGATTTAAAATTCAGAAGGAGAGCCCTGCCCTGGAACCACCCTCAGCCTCCACGACTTCGGGGAGAGGTTGTCCAGGATGATGAAAACTTTGTTAAATGAAGGTGCTTCTTTATATCTCAAGTATCATTTTATACCTTTAAGGGTCTTATCCATCATCTGCAAGGCCTGAAAGCATTAGAGACGCAGTTCCTGAAGAGAGTGAAGATTGATCTGAAATCCATGTCCCCTTTGGATGTTCAGACTGGAGAAATGGTGCAATAACTCTGAATTTATGAGACTATTGAGGCTTTTTCTGTGCATTAATTAGTTCCCACATACATATTTTTTTTTTGCAGGTGGAACCTTTTCTTGAAGCAGAAATTGCCTTGTTTTGTTTTCCAGTCTGGCTTCAGCCTGTCATTGCATGAGAAGCAGAATCTACCCATTAAAAATTCTTTCATCTTCCCAATTTACGGGTAGTTTTAATTTCTGGTACTTTTACACTGACTCTATTAGTGTCAGCATGAAATGACTCCAAGCACAGTCTAATAAAGATGGGTTTTTTCAGCTCCTCAGCAATTTTTTAGCTGGTGGCTGTCTGGGGATCTCAGATCCCATTAAGACATTCACTGAAACTCTCCGTGCCATTCCCAGTCTGACCCACTTCAAACCAGTTGTCGTGTTCACATCCTAAAAAAACCACTCAGGGGAGGTTTCCAAGCCTCTTGGGTGAGTTCTTTGAGCCAGCCTGGAGTGGGGATGTGGCCAGGAGACAGCTCAGGAGTGTTTCTGTAAAATGTTGCAGCGACCTCTGATGAGTTTGGGTTTAAACTGAGGCACCACAGGAAACAGGAGCCCTGGTGCTGATCCGAGGGCTGGAGCAGCTCTGCTGGGAGGAAAGGCTGGGAAAACTGGGATTGGTCAGCCTGGAGAAGAGAAGCTTGGGGGTGACACAGTTGTCCCTAAATCCCACACCAGGCTCTGGTTCTTTCTCCCTGGATCCTGTGGGATCTCAGGTGTGGATGTGCTGTCTTAGCAGGGCCCTCCCAAAACACAGAATTCAGTCTGGATTGTTCTTACCCTTGACTGGAGGCAGAGCTTTGTAAACACTGCTGGAGACAGGAATTTATTAAGGATTTAGACTCCTTTTCTTAATAAAAGAACACCTTGGAAGGATGAATTATGTATTATAGACATTCTTAGTGTTTTCCTTTATGACTAAAGTGAAACAGGCTGGAATACAAACTTTGTTGTGACTGAAAAGTGGCACTGGAATAAATTCAGCCCCTAATTCCCGAGATGAGAGAAACCTGTAAGACTGCAAATGTCTGGCAGAAGATAAGGAAATGAAAACAAGGTAATAAGCACTGAGGAAAAGGCATTTAATCAGTTGGAAGCGTTTTGCATGCGGGACATACTCGTTGGGAACTAATTTCATGTACAAAGGGTGTCTGTGCTCCCCAGGCCGTCTGAGATTCACTATAAAAACCAACTCCACTCAACTCCTTCCTACCACTTCTCTCCTCTCTTTCCTCTTTTGTGAACAAGGTTAGTTCAAATCTTCTTTTCTTTCTCTATTTGCTGGGTTCTTGCCTGTTAACAACCTTTTTTTCCCCACAGTTTTCTGCCTGTTGCTGAATTTGCTGGGGGAGGAGTTTTTCTGTTTAACAAGCTGGGGTTTGCTGTTAGAATTGCAGAATTTCTGGAGTCCTGGCTTGGCCATAGGGATCCTTGGACTGGTGATATAAATTTATTAAAATGTGGGATTTCAGACATGTTGAGTGACCTAGAAAATGCTACTAATAATAAAGATTAACGAACTGAATGGGGAGAATAACTATGCAAGGGGTTGGAACTGTGTGATCTTTAAAAATCCCTTTTAACTCCAACTGTTCTCTGGAAACAGAAGATCCAGTTCTATTTCCAGCAGAATTTTATTTCTCTAAGGGTATTATCCATCCTCTGCAATGTCTGAAATGCCAGCTGGGTTGCCAAATGTTGAAGTTATGTTACAGAGTGCAGTGACACCTCCTGAAATGTAGAGAAATGGGATCATAATGTGAAGATAAAGGGAAAGAAGAGCAAAAATGAAGGAGACCAGACTGGGATGGGTGTGGGAATCAGTGGGCTTTGATTTTTTTGGTGTGATGGAACCAGGCACAGGGAGCATCCGGGGAATTCCTGGCTTTCTCTTAGGCAGAACATCTGTGGAAAAGTGTCTGGGAAAGCTTTCAAAAGGCCTCCCCTTCACGGATCCTTAATTACATCGGAATTTGTACCTCTTGTGTAGGCAGAGTTGGAGCCTTGAGAATAATTCCTCATTTCATCTTCCAGCTGCCTATTGAGCTGTGCCCACAGGTGCACTTGTGGGCAGGTGTTTCTCCTCACTATTGCTCCTGCCACGCTCTGAGTCCACGGGGCTGGGTCCTGGTGGTGTCTCTCCAAAGAGACAAAGCTGCTAAAACTGAAGTGACCACCCGGGCACCTTTGCTTCTGTCCCACTGCTGGTTCTGCCACTGCACCACCGAGAGCTGGGGGTGGTTCAGCCTCTTCTTCCAACACCTCGAAGGGTTTGGTTTCCTGCTCAGCTCCGTTCCTGGAGGGATCCCAGGACAGCCCCTGTTCTGGTCACTGGTGTGAGCACAGTAACCCCCTCTCTGCCCCTGTTTCAGGTCCTGCAGCCCCAGCCATGTCCTGCTACGAGCGCTGTGCCCCCACCCCGCTGGCCAACAGCTGCAGCGAGCCCTGCGTGCGGCAGTGCCAGGACTCCACCGTGCTCATCCAGCCCTCGCCCGTGGTGGTGACCCTGCCCGGGCCCATCCTCAGCTCCTTCCCCCAGAGCACCACCGTGGGCTCCTCGGCCTCGGCCGCCGTGGGCAGCGCCCTGAGCGCCGGGGGGGTTCCCATCAGCTCCGGGGGCTCCCTGGCACTGGGGGGCTTTGGCTACCCCGGGCTGGGCGGGGGCTACAACCGGCCCTCCCGGCGCTCCAGCACCTTCCGCGGGGGCTTCTATGGGCCCTGTTAGCTCTGCCTGAGGGACAAGGCGGGAAGGAATCGCCAGGAATTCTGGAGCACCACCTGACGCCGGCCTGAGCTCACGGCCACGGTTTGCAGACGTGATGTTGGACACCCACGAGTTCCCCTGGAGCCGCCGGAGCTGTGGGAGCTCTGCACCTCCTCCAACCAGGCCTTCGCTTGTCTTCTGCTGTGCTTTACTTGGTGTTTCTGGTCAAATGTCTTGTCCTGCTTTTGTGTTTGTGTTTGATGACAGGGAAAACACGGAATTGTCAGGAATTGTCCTGCATGGCTGAATTAGTGCAGTTCACTTCACCACTGAAGAAGGAAGATTTCAGGTTGCTGAGTGTGTCACTGTGAGAGGGATGAGTGGGTTCTGTCCTTACTGGACCATAGAAATGTGTTCCTTACCTTTATATTCCATTCCCCAGCCTCATTAAATTTGTGCTGCATCCTACTCCGAGNGAATCGCCAGGAATTCCGAGTTACGGCCCAAAGCGGGACTGGGCTCACGGCCACAGCTTTCACAAGCAGCCTCAGACACCCCCAGCTCCACCCGAAGCAGAGCTGTGGGAATCAGTCATTCCCTAAAACGGGGCCGCTCCTCTCGTTTCGCTCTGTATTTCCAGTCCAGTCTGTGGCTCTGCTGCTCCTCAGTGCATTTGGTGCTACCTGCTGTAAAAGTTTAATCTGGAGAGGAGGTGATGCTCGAGGTGCAATCCTGCACTGAAAGGAGAGCTCTGCCTGTGGGATGCAGCCCACAAGCTGTGCAGTTCATCCCACACTGAGCCCTGATCTTCCCACACTGACCCCTGATGCTTCGCAGGATTTTAATCCACTCCTTGGTCTCAATAAAGTGTTGCTGTTGTGGCATCTCCAGTCTTCTGGTGGTTTTTTTCCTTCCCCTCTTATTTTCCTTCTGAAACTTTTCCTGGGTGAAATTTATCCCTGAGTGGCCCCTCACTGGGCTGGGAAATTTGGGGCTGGAGAAGAGAAGGTGGTGAAGAGACCTCAGAGCCCCTTCCAGGGCCTGAAGGGGCTGCAGGGAAGCTGGAGAGGGATGTTCATCAGGAACTGGGGTGACAGGACAAGGGGGGTGGGTTCAGGCTGACAGAGGGGAGATTTAGGTTGGATACAGGGAAGGAATTCCTCCCTGGGAGGGTGGGGAGGCCCTGGCACAGTTTGCCCAGGGAAGCTGTAGTTCCCCTCACAGTAAAGATTTTTTTCCCCAGTATCCACCCCTAAGCCTCCTCTCTGCCATTTTGAAGCCATTCCCTGCTGTCCTGTCACTACAAGCTCTTGCAAACAGTAAATCCCTGCAAGTAAATTGGTTCTGCTAAAATTAAGGACCTGAGATTTAAGTGAGATTTGCAGCAGTTGCTCAAAGAGTCAGTTTGGGGAAAAAACTGAAGAGATTATCACGTTGTGAAGATTTGGGGCATTCTAATAGCTTATATAAATTACTAAATTGTTATTAAAAATATAAATTATTGTAAATTCTGTAAATTACGTTGCAGCAGCTTCAGTTGTCCCCAGTAGTTAAATTGTTGCCAGCAGTGAAATTGCTCCTGGTTTATGTACCAGTCTCACCCTGGCACCAGATGAAAACCCTTCCTCAAAGCTTCTTTCATCCTGAGACCTGAGGATCATTTGAATGCCTTGTTCCCTCACAAGCCAGACTCCCAAGTCAACACAATGACACGAATTTCAATTCATGGAGTAATTTGTCAGCTCTTGGGGCAATTTGGTGCCTCCCCAGCCTGGCGTGGCAGCACCAGCTCGTTACACAAAGGGCTTTAATTGAGTGTGGGGAGTGTGAAACTCCATCCCTGGTCCATCAGCTGGGGTTGGTGTGTCCCTTGGAGCACCCAAAGGCTCCCAAGCTTTTGGGTGAACCCCGGGTGCCAATTACCAAACTGGCAGAATATCAATGCAAACATTTCCAGGCTGGTAATGAGTCTTTTTTTTTTTAAATATTATCTACCCTCCGAGACAAACTGTTTCTGTGCCCAGAGGGGAGAGTGAGGGAAAGGAAGCATTCCTTGGTCATCTCAGATAAAAGGGAGTTGAATTCTTTGGGTGAGTGACTTCACCTACTAGAAGGAATTAATTTTTTAAATATCTAAAAAGGCTGTATGTAGATAGTAGAGATTTTGAGGAAAAGCATGAAAAAGATTTTTTTTCTATAGAAAAAGCTTTTATAAAAAAAGAAGAATTTTCTCGCAGAGAAAAGATGAGGATTTTAAGATTTTATAAAAAAATCAATATTTGGCTTAAATTTTTTTTAGATGAATTATAAAAACATTTAATAAAATAACTCAAGATTTTGAAGTTGCTTACCTGAATTAGTTTGTGAAGCCCTTTGAGTGATCTTGACCCACATACTTGGAGATTAAGTTATTATCCTGGTGATGGAGTTATTATCCTGGTGATGGGAGCACTGAGATCTCCTCACGTCCCTCCAACATTGGGGAGCCCAAAACTTTGCATGTTTGAGCCCCTGGTTAGAAGGTGGTGGGACCTTTGAAGTCCTTTGTTCTTCTGCAGCCCAGCCTCTGTTCAAAGCCTCTGTGCAGCTGGAGTTAATTCCTGTCTCTGCTGAGGGGCTGAGGGGAGACACCTGATCCTGGGCTCTGCATATTTTCCATCTCTGCAGGGAATTCCAGCAGGTTGGATTCCAGCCAGGGCTGGTCACTGCTGGCTGGGCAGCAAACCATGTCCTGGGAAATGGGATGAAGAAGTGCTGGGGGTAATTTGTCCTGACGCTGTCGTTTGGCTCAGACAGAGCCTCTAAAACCCAGCATTTGAAGTCCATCCTCAGTGTCCACATTCATGTTTAATTTGTCGTGATAATTGCTGCACATCCTGGCATTTCATGGTGACTTTGGCATGGAAATGATATTAAAATGTATGTTTGGGTAAAGAATTGCAGGTTTATGAGTGTTTGGATGGGCTGGGTTCATAAAACCGGGCTCAGCCCAAGCAGGAACGTGTTTTACTGTCCTTGCTCAGCAATTCTCACTGGTTTTAATTTTCTTCCAGCTTTGCAATACTCATGGAAATGTGCTGCTCTTCCTCAGCTGCCTGTTTGTGTGGGAAGGGCAAAATTGGGGAATATCTGCTCTACATCTTGTCCTGTGGCAAAGCTGAGCCCTGGTTTGTGGGCTGAGCCCAGGCTGTCACCTCCGAGCTGATTGTTCACCTCCAGCAGCGAAGTCTTGGACTAAACATCACCCACACTCCCCTCAAGCAGTGTCTTAATGACTGAAATGGAGCCTAAAGTGTCCACTGGCCTCAGGAGGCACCATAATTGCTGCTCTAATTCACAGGAGTCACCACAGGCTTCCCAAGCAATTAAGTGGGTGCCCAGGGATGAAGATGAAAGGGGTGGGGATGTCACAGGGGGAGGGGAAAAGCAGAACAACACCAAGAGAGATTTGGGAACAAACAACAACAACAAGAGTCGATGGGTTTGGGGGGTTTTGCATGGAAATCATGGGCAATTAAGGGATGTCATGCATAATAAACACCTCTGGTCTGCAGGCAGCGGGGACGTGGTATAAAAGCCTATAGAACACAAGCCCCTTCCATCCTCTTCTCTTGCCCTATTCTCCCAGGTGAACAGGTAAGTCTGAGCCTCCCCAGTGCCTTTTTAAATGCTAAACTGCCACTTTGATGGCTGCTTTTGTTTTATTTTATTTTTTTTGTTGCTGGTTGTTCTCGGTTCTTTATAAATATTGCTGGTTTCGTTGTTTTGCCTCCAGGGGAAATTGGAAACTTTGTACCGAAAAGAAAGGGTTTATTTATTTGTGCAGCAGAGCATGAGGAGACAGGACTTGGAGGATTCTGGCAGTGTTATCTCTCAGAACAAGCAGATTTATGCTCCATTTTAGAGGATTTTTAGGACCACTGGGGGAGTGGGTGGCCACGAACCTGGTTGGCTTCTGCAGAGGGTTCTGGCTAAAGGCTGATTGGGCTTGGACAAACCTTCCATGACTGGCACCACAGTTCAGAGGCCTCACAGAAAATAAGAGAAACCTCTCAAATGTAAAAAATTGTGTAAAACACCAGTTCCACCCGTGGGTTTTGCTGTGACAGGTGGTGTGACAGAGGTGTGACCTCCCCAGCCACCTCTGTAGGTGCCTGGACATCTCTTACCCTCTTAGGTGACTTCTGTGGACTCACTGCAGGTTTTAAAGGGTTTAACTTCCTTCCCTGTGTTTCAGCCCTGCCTCTGCCCCAGAGATATGTCCTGCTACGACCTGTGTGCCCCCTGTGCCCCCACCCCGCTGGCCAACAGCTGCAGCGAGCCCTGCGTGCGGCAGTGCCAGGACTCCACGTACGTCCTGCAGCCCCCGGCCGTGGTGGTGACCCTGCCCGGGCCCATCCTCAGCTCCTTCCCCCAGAGCACGGCCGTGGGCTCCTCGGCCTCGGCCGCCCTGGGCAGCTCCCTCAGCTCCGACGGGGTTCCCGTCTCCTCGGGGGGCTCCTCGGGATTGGGGGCCTCGGGGTCCCTCCGGCCCTCCCGGCGCCCCAACACCTCCAGGGGTGGCTTTGGGGAGCCCTGCTAGGGCGGGGGGGAAGCAGGAACGACCCCCAGCAATGCTGGAGCACGACCCGGCCACGGTGTCCAGACGTGATGCTGAACAGCCACGGCCCCGCCTGAATTTAGGGCTCGTGGGAGCTTTGCATCTCCTCCCATCAGGCCTTTGCTTGGCTTAGTCTTTGATCCTTCGTGTTTCTGAGGAAATATTTTGGTTGTTTCTGCTGCTGTAAAAATGGGGCTTTTTTTGTCCCAGTTCAGGGCAGCACCGAGAAAACAAACCCAGGATGAAAAGCCATATTAGCTCCTGTCTTGAATCCTAGAAATGTCAACTTACACTTTGTGCTTTTTTATTCTGCTTTTTTTGCTCTCATTAAAGTTATGTTGCATCACAACCCAAGTCTCCTGCTGTTTATTTGAAAAACTTTGCAATCTTTCAGCAAAAAGCTCACTTTTTGCAGAATTTTCACTCAAGTTTATTCTGAGCATGAAATTCTTTCTCTTGCTCCTGGGCTGGAAAAGTGTTGGGGGGATGTGTGTCAGTCCTGGGTCTGCAGCTCCAAACAAGGAGGTGATCTGGCCCTTCCTAAATGACCAGTGGGAGTAAATTGAAATCAGGAACCTGGGACACAACTGCAGCCAAATGCAGGTGAGTTGATACCTCCTGGAGCACCTGGCAGGAAGAAATGACCTGTGCAAAGGGTTTATCCCAATTATTGCAGGCACAGCCCTGCTCCGAGGGGATGGAATAAATCCCACATTCCTCAGCCTCGGTGGCACCAAGACATTGCTCTCCCAGTGAGGTGGATCTCACACCCAGCACTAATTGCACTCTCCCAATTTGAAACATAATTAAAAATCTGCATTTGAAAAAAACAAATCCCTCAAACGCGTTTGAGAAATAAAGAAAACCCGCCCGTTTTGGGTGTGTTGTTTTGCAGAGGTTCTGGTGACTAAATAACTTCTTCCCTCGAGCAGAAATGAATTTTTGGTGTTGTTTTCCACTTCTGTTCCCAGCAGAATTCCAGTACAATGACCACACCACCCCTGGTTCTTCACAGGAATACTCCAGGTGTTCATCCAGGACTGAGCTACATTTATTTTTTGACAAAAAAAGGGAAATTTATAAACTAAGATGCCAAACCAAACCTCAAACTTCAGTGACTTTACAGTTCTTTACAGCAGCATTTGAATAACATCAGCAATGAGCTGAGCTCCTTTCAGGTACCTTGGGGAGGACACAAATGCCTGGGCTGGAACACCTTTGCCCTGGGGGGAGTTATTTGGGCAGCAGAAGTGGGGAACAGCAAATCACGGGCTCTGCCTGCACCAGGAACCCTCTGGGATCACAGGGACACCTAATTCTTTGTAACGAGCTAATTAATTACAATTCAGAAGGAACTGCAGGGGACACTCCTGCCGGGGAAGCTCCCAGTCCGTGTCAGCTCCTCCCCACGGGGATTTTGGGGTCACTTTTGTGCCTGGAGACTTCCCACGGGGTATTTACTGTGAGTAAAACCCCACTTCAGTTTTGATGAAGAATCTCTTTTTTTTTTTTCAGAAGTTTAGTCACTCTCAGGTGTCTCAGGAGGATGTTCTCACATTATGCAAGAAGGTTTAATTATAATCTGAATACACAGGTCTGTCCTTGATTATAAAAGTCTGTGAACTTCTAATTCACTCACTTTAATTCATCTCAAAGCTGAGGCCATTAAAGCCATTCTGACTGTACAATGCAGTGGCTGGAGTCAGGACAATGTTTATTGTCATCATTCTCAAGGAAGGCTGAGGAAATCTCTGAAAATGGTGTTGCTGGATTTTTTTTGTTTTAAACTCACAGTCAGATTTTAAAGGTGTTTTGTGTTTCCCAAGCAAACCTTGGATGAAGGGAGAATAAAAAAAAATGGATGACAATAAACTGTGGATGCTGTTATGCAAATTAATTCCTCAAATAGCTGCTAAGGAGGAAATTATTTTTGAAACAGGCTGCTAATCCCTCAGAATATGGAGAAGTACTGAGGAGTGGACAGGGCTGGGGAAGCTGAAAACAGCCAGGGAAGTTTCTTTGTGAATCCCCTTGAAATATGAGATGGTTTAAACCAAACCTTGAGCTTTTTACATTGAATTTAAAATAAATAAAATAGCTGTGATTCCTGCAGCCAGAAACAATGACATAAATTTTACAGCCCAATTACTGCCCTGCGCTCCCAAATCCTAAAGACAAGTCATTAAACAAGTGATATGGGAATTCAAATGTGGGTCACGTATCTTAAATTTGCACTTAATGTCACACTTTGCATTCTGGCTCTTTAATAAAGCTTCTGATAAACTTTGAAGTTCTCAGGAAGCTCTGACCAAGCCAAACGAGTTTCTGTTCCCAGGGGACCTTCCCAAAGACAGCCCTAATTTGGGGCTCATTTCCATGTCTCAGAGAGCAAATCCCCAGGACTGATCCCTGTGTCTGGAACTGCTCAGGGATGTTTCCCCTTCACCATTTATCCTACAAGTCCCCCTTGGAGAAGAGGCTCCAGCTCTTTGTGCTGCTGGAAAGTCACAGAAAAATCAGCTCCAAGGGACACTTTATAGACTTTTGACAATTCTCCAGCTGGGTCCACTGGTCTTTGACACATCAGAGCCAGACACTGCTGGGGAAATGGGTGTTGCAATAAAATAAGGATTATTTAGGTTGGAAAAGACCTCCAAGATCATCAAATCCACCCTGTGCTCCATCCTCACCTGGTCTTCCAGCCCAGAGCACTCAGTGCCACGGCCAGTCCTTCCTTGGACACCTCCAGGGGTGGAGAAACTCTCTAGGAAAGGAAAGATTCTTGGATGGAACTTCTGCCTCCACAGCTGGGTTTGGCAAAGCTTTACCTGCTGCAGAACTCCTCCTTGGGAACAAATCTCACCAAGCAAAGCAACCTTTTTATTCAACCTAAACACAGCTGCTGATATTTTGAGCTCTGAGATGAGAAGTGGATTTTTTCCATGAAGAACTCCAAAGAGATCAGGCCCAGGATTAGAGACCCAGGAAAGGTTTTGGGGGCTGTATCTGGGTGAAAACTGAGTGTTCTTGGCAATTTGCCTGTAAAATTGTCTCTCTTTTCCTTTCCTTAAAAGGAGGAATTTCTTGCTGGAGAGGGTGGTGAGGCCTTGGCAGGGTCTGCCCAGGGAGGTGGGGGAGTGCCCAGCCCTGGAGGTGTCCCAGGAAGGACTGGCCCAAAACTCATGAGTTCACTTCCAAAAGCAGCAATTGATGTTTTCCCCCAGGATTTACCTGGCAGAGGAGGGGACCAGGGACTGCATTATGCAAATGATGCTTAATCTCCTCTAATGACCCCAAGCAGATCCAGAGGGTTTTGAAGGCAGAACAAATCCTTCTGAATTAATCATTCCACTGTTCCCAGGAATTAGGCTGGCCCAGAATATTTCAAGATGAAACAGTCATGTGGTCAGATATACATGCCACAAGATAAGGAAGTGAAGGAGTAATAAACACAAATACTGAGGCAAAAAAACATGTAATCAGTAGTGGCTCATAAATCACTTCATGCACAAAGAGTGGCCCAAGTTGTTGGGCAACTTAAGGCTCGGTATAAAAACCTGAGCAACTCCAGGCTCTGCCAGACATTTCTCTTGCCTTCTTTGCTGTGAACAAGGTAAGTCTGAAGCCATTTATTCTCTCTTTATACAACAAACTATTGCCTTGATGGTTTTGTAGCTTTTCCTCACTCATTTTGTGGCAAATTCAGCCTTTTTTTTCTCTGAGGGAGGAAGGGGTTTTGATATAAAAAAAGTACCTTTTCCTATTTCCTATGTTGGTGGTGAGTCATAATAATCATTAATATGCCAATGAGCCACGTTCACCATTTAGGGCTATTTATCAACTTTGGGATCCAATCAAGTTTTCAGGTCCTGCAGGTGCCCATGAAATGTCTCTCGTGAGTTCCTGGGTGTGTTCAGAGTGGTGTGACCAAGTTCCACACAGACCAAGTGTGGAGGGTTCAGCAGGTCAGCAGAACAGAATCCCAGAATGTGCTGAGCTAGAAGGGACCCACAAAGACCATCGAGTCCAGCTCCTGGTCCTGCACAGGCCCAGCCCCAAGAGTC